TCTTTATTTTGCAGGAAATATGTCCAAAGATGAATGCGGAGATTTTGAGCGAAGAAATGCAGAAGAGACCACCTACGGAGCTTATGACAGTCCGTCGTGCTTGTGACGGTCCGTAGGTGGAAGTGTAGTGCAACTGCTAAAGGAAGATGGGGAAGTCTGACCAAGTGTGGGGTTACGTAGCTTGTGACAGTCCGTCGTGTCTATGACGCTCCGTCTTGCAGGTTCGTCATGAAGTTCAGAAAAGTGATCCCAGTACCCATATTCCAAGAGTTGAAGTGTTTTGAAACGAAGGCCCTCGACGGACCGTTGTTCCCATGACGGTCCGCCATACTTGCCGTCGAGGGTAATAAAGAAGAGCAACAGAAGGAATTGCACAAGTATGGGACGACGGAGTCCATGACGGTCCGTCGTGACCATGACGATCCATCGCGAGGTCCGTTGACCCAGCCGCATTTTGGCAGATTTCCAGCAAACAGAGTCCTTGTTTAATTAGGTTTTTATTTTCTATATATAGTTCGAAAAACCTTATTTTTGAGGTTAGACGCCGGATAATTAGACTCTTAGATTGTTAGACTCCGTATTGTTAGACATCATATTATTAGACTTTGTGTATTAGTGTTAGATTTGGAGATTCTTGCAAGTGATTTTTGGTGATTAATCAAGCAAACTGTTGGATTTTACTCTTTCTCATTGAAGTAAGTACATGAACTCGTATTTAATATATTTGAATATTGTGTTTATGGCCATGAGTAACTAAACTCCATAACTAGGGTTGTGGGAACCATAGGCAAGTAATGAGACAAACCCTAACTAAAATAACAATTCTAGAATAGTGTCTTGCATGTATTAATAATTCTTTCGCTTAGAAGTCTTTTTAACGGATGACCAACGTTAGAACTCGCCTTAATGCTACTTGCCGGACCAAGGAGGTAGATAATAGGAAAAGAATTATTAACATAGATTTAGTGTGTACTATCTAATAGGCTAGTGTTGATTGGTACGAGGTAATAACTTAGTCAAATATCGAATACGATGCTTAATATGAGGTAAGGATAAGGGTTAGGATAACAACACACGTAGCCGGACCAAGGTGCGGACTGATATTTTCTAGATGCCGGACCAAGGATTTAGAAATACATAACTTATCACTTTGCATGCAAGATACTAGGAAAGAATTGTTATAGTTAGAATTATCAAGTTATGAACCTGTGGGGAACACGTAAACCCTAGTTACTTTGTTTAATTGATTAAAATCCAACTGTCAAAGTTGTTAAGTGTCTCTTTCAAGTTCGTTATTTATTTTCACTCATTTAGAAATAGAAACCCCCCTTTTTATGTTTTTACTTTCCAAGGAAGTCATTGACCAAACAATAGTAATAACAGGTTGAAGTTAAGTCTAGACTATTTTCCTCGTGGGAACGACCCCAACCTCACTAGTTGAGTTATTTACTTGACACGACCGCTTTACTTCTTATTTGAGAAGTAAGTTTGAGCGTATCAAAAACAACCAGCAGTATCATTACAAGAACAAATTTCAGCCGACACTTATAAAAAATTTTGGAAGACATCTCATAAAACAGCCTCCACCTTTTTTTATTCAAAAAAACACCCAACACTTCTTGTCTTAAAACAATCACGAGTTAATGAATTTGTTTTTAGCAATTCAATTTTGTCTTCTCTTAATATATTAGAAAACAACCAGCCGACAGTAACATGAGAAAAAATTGTGAGCTGTTTCACAAGATTGCCGGCACAAAAAAACAAACGAATCGAGCAGCCATTAATTTTTTCAAAAAAAAATAAAAAATATTCATGTCCTTATGCAAGATCTCAAGATTATTCTATCAAATCTAATTGGATAATTTTCACAAGTCAATATTACTGTATGCACTTAACAAAACAAAACAATTCAAATTTTATCCGTTTTGTTCTTTTCGTAATAAAAAAATTCTCACAACAAATCATACATTCACTTGCGGTCGTGTCAAGTAAATAACCCAACTAGTGAGGTTGGAATCATTCCCACGAGGAATGACTTGTTATTACTATTGTTTGGTCAATGACTTCCTTGGAAAGTAAAAACAATAAAAGGGGGGTTTCTAATTCTAAATGAATGTAAATAACTAACGCAATTGAAAGAGACACTTAACAGCTTTGAATGTTGGATTATAAACAATTAATCAAAGTAACTAGGGTTTACGTGTTCCCCACAGGTTCATAACTTGATAATTCTAACTATAACAATTCTTTCCTAGTATCTTGCATGCAAAGTGATAAGTTATGTATTTCTAAATCCTTGGTCCGACATCTAGAAAATCTCACTCCGCACCTTGGTCCGGCTACGTGTGTTGCTATCCTAACCCTTATCTTTACCTCATATTAAGCATCATATTCGATATTTGGCTAAGTTATTACCTCGTACCAATCAATACTACCCTATTAGATAGTATATACTAAATCTATGTTGATAATTCTTTTCCTATTATCTACCTCCTTGGTCCAGCAAGTAGCATTAAGGAGAGTTCTAACGTTGGCCATCCGTTAAAAAGACTTCTAAGCGAAAAAATTATTAATACATGCAAGACACCATTCTAGAATTGTTATTTTAGTTAGGTTTTATCTCATTATTTGCATATGGTTCCTACAACCCTAGTCATGGAGTTTAGTTACTCATAGTCATAATCATAATATTCAAATATATTAAATAAGAATTCATGCACTTACTTCAATGAGAAAGAGTAAAATCCGAAAGTTTGCTTGATTAATCACCAAAAATCACCAATAATCAATGATAATCAAAAGTCTAACAATACAATATTTTCTAATACGGTGTCTAACAATACGGAGTCTAACAATGATCCAGAGTCTAACCTAACAGAGTCTAACTATCCGGAGTCTAACTATCCGAAGTGTAACCTCAAAAATGAGGTTTTTCGAACTATTTATAAAAAATAAAAACCTAATTAAACAAGGACTTCATTTTTGCTGGAAATCTGCCAAAACGCGGTTGGGTCGACGAACCTCGCGACAGATCATCATGGTCATGACGGACCGTCATAGACTCCGTCGTCCCATACTTATGCAATTTCTTCTGCTGATCTTCTTCATTACCCTCAACGGTAAGTATGACGGACCGTCATAGTCACAAGACGGTCCGTTGAGGGTCTTCGCTCCAACACACTTCAACTCTTGGAATATGGGTACTGGATTACTTCTCTGAACTTCATGACGAACCTGCAGGACGAACCGTCATAGACATGACGGACCGTCACAAGCTTCGTAACCCCACACTTGGTCAGACTTCCCCATCTTCCTTCAGCAACTGCACTACGCTGCCACCTACGGACCGTCACAAGCACGAAGGACCGTCATAAGCTCCGTAGGTGGTCTCTTCTGCATTTCTTTGCTCAAAATCTCCGTATTCAGCTTTGGACACATTTCCTGCAAAATAAAAAGAAACTTATATAAAAATTAACACAAAAAGACTTTTGGACACACTAAACTTAAGGAAAAAGTATTAATAATACCGTGAAACCACGGTATATCAATATACATATATACATATTTTCAATTGTTTATAAAAATGCAATTATGGATCTGATACCAATTGTTAGAAAATAGCATACACAACGGAAGCATTCCAGAATCATACATCTTGCATTAATATAAACAACAATCACAAATATCCATCACATACAAATACGTTGAAAATTAACTCAGAATTACCTCTTGAAGCGTGTGCAGATATCTTGAAGCAAATCCAACTCCAGTTCTAAGTCTTCTACAGTAATCCCAATTAACAATTGAACTCTCTCAGTACTTGGGTGGGCAAGTATTGTATAGAATACTGAATTCCGTCTCTTTCAAGGTCAGAAGAATACCTACTTATAGATTTTTCTTCCTAGTCCAAAGGGAATTCCTTTTCTTTTAAGAAAAACAAAACTACAGCTTTCTTCTTCTTTTTGGAGAAGAACATGTTTCTTTTTCCTTTTTTAGAAAATAGGATTCTGAGTTCTAGTTAAAATGGGCATTGGAGGGACCACAAAATTTATTACTGAGACTCCCTATTATGGAAATATTTCTAAATATTTAATTTGAGTTATTCTTACCATAATAAATTACAAATCATTCCACTAAAAATTCGTAATTGCACTCCTCTATTTATTTCGAAATTCACCATTAAACACTTGTGTAATTTTCCATGTTAAGATTACCGATATTAATTAATAAATTAAATTACTGACGAATTTAATTCAATGATTAACTTCTTTTAGAGCAATACTTAACTTATTTCATGTGCCAGATTCATAAATCTACTGTCCGGATTTAGACATGAAAACTTATTAGCTTTTCATAAAAGGTGTATCATCAATCTCTATACTGAGACATGGATTCCATCAACTAACTAATTATGTCACCGATATATATTATTATCATCTAATCTATCAGGAATATTGACACATCTCATAATCTCTCCTTTTAATAAATCAAAATGATAATTAATAAATGCATATCATAATCGTTATATAAAGATTAAAAATATAAGTACATTTAATAGTTTAGAAAATATGTTTTTATCAGTCACTCTAAAACAACTATCCCTACTCGGTCCCGTTCAATACATACCAAATGCACTAGCACGAGAAGTCAGAACTATGTCATTCTCATACTCAAGATAAATTACATTTATCTCGTGCTATAATCTTTCTGATGGTTTTGTCCAGATTTTCATCTATGATTGTAAACTACAACTTTTAACTTATAAGAAACGTTGATTTAATCTTTTGTGTATAAGCTTAAACTCTATACACCAAATCATATACTGTATAAGTTAAGGACACATATATGACAATTGATCTATTTAATGTAACACTTTATTGAATTGAAGAAATAAATAAACAATTGTTCAATATTCATACTATATCAAAATATATGGTTAATAGTATATCCTAACAATATGAACAAGATCTATATTTCAATTCCTATATATAAAAGCTAGGTTGAAGGGAAATGTGTTAGCTTTTTCTCTCACTTATTAGGGATTATTAGATTTTATGTCTTTCCCTTTCACTTGGATATTTTTGGAATACACTCTTTTTCATTAGCTAGGATAAGAATGGAGACGACGTGGGGTCAAAATTATTCCAAAGAATGAAGGAAAAGAGAAGCAACAATTTCTACAATAACTCAACCCCCTCGCCTCCACTAAATTAGCTTCCCATGTGTTGCAATGTAGGGGCATAGAAAATGAGCCAAAATATAGGTACTCTTTAATTCATTCAGAATTTTAATGATAGAGTTCAAGATAATTTGAATTAAGTTCACTCTTAATTATTTCAAGACTTCATTCATTTTAAGAAAATTTTTAGTTGAGCTCAATTTAATCTTCAATTCTTATATATTTTAAGTCTTTTTTGTTGCATTGATATAATCTATTTTATATCGTTTAGAATTTATCTATCCATTTGTAATTATTTTTTACGAGTTAAAATTCAAATTGTAGTTATAAAAGTTAGATAACAAAAGGTTAAAATTATTGAGATTAAGAATATCAAATTTGGCAGGTCTTGCTTAGATTTTTAGTCCATCATATTTGAGTCCAAAGTTAAGGGTGGGTCAAGATCCAATCCAGTTTTTATTTCAATTCATTTTAATATATCAAATTTTAACCTAACCTGTTTATTTGACATCTATGTTGCAATGCAGAGATTCAACACGTGTCCTAAATACAATTTAATTGGACAAGCTTTATCTATGATCAACTGTTTCGCTCTTTAGTCTTCTTCTTCTTTTCGCGAGTTTAAAAAAAATTTCTCCATTCAACTTTAGTATGGTAAATACTGGAGCTAAATGTAACGATCCTTATATATACATATCTAAAGAGGTTTTTCATTTGTGTTGGATTGTATATTGATTTGATCATTTGATGAGTCTTTTCTGAAATGATTTTTTTAATACTAGTATATGGGCACGTGTGTTGCGCGTTTACTCATAACGATAAATAAAGTGATAAACGTTTTTAGTGTATAAACTAACTAATATAAGGGCAATGCGCGATTTAACTTTTAAAAAAATGTTTGTAGTGTATAGTTAACTTGAAGTTTTTTTTTTTCATTTAGTCCTCTCTTTATTATAATTTTGATATAGAAATTTTATATTTGTTTTTAAAAGACAAAATAAAGTAGCAATAATAAAGATGGAGGCACAGTATCTTATGAATAACTTCCTTAAATTGTCTTTTTTTTCCTCATAAAATAGTATAAATGTCTCTCTTGTCTCATAGAATAGAGTAAAAATATTGAAATTAAATTAATAGTTACACAATATATACATTTCAAGAAGATAAATGTTTGACATTTATTAGTACAAGACGAAATTCTCATTCTCATTGAGTAGATTGCAACTAAATAATTCAAATTTATAAATAAGAAACTTATTAGAAGGAATAACTAGAGATTATAAGTGCAATGATTGGTATTTAAATTATGTAATTATACAAATAACATATTAATAATTAAACAAATAAATCAGAATTTAATTTATTGTAGAGCCAAAATGACAATATTAGTATTCTTACAACTAAAAGTTTGTTAAAATATATTTTACATTTTTTTATTAAAAAATTAATGGTAGCAATATTTGGTCAAAGGATAAAAGATTTTCTAACTTTAAGCATTTTGGTGCATCATTTTTTTTGCCTTTGAAATTTGGATCTCATGATAATTTTAATGAAAATTGTTTAAAAACTATAGAGTTTATCCACAAGCCATGTAAGAATGATTCTTTACAAATATTTAAATTTTAAGATGCAAAAATGTAATTATTAATAATATGAAATCAGAATATTTTGTAGGAAATAATTGTTTTACATGCCTTATACACTATTTTTATGATTGTATTTGTCTCATTTTCTAAAGCAAAAAATACACCCTTCAATCAAATATATTCTTAAAACAAAATTACAAATACAAAAAAAGAATCATATATAGAAGCAAATTTAGCATAACGCTACCAACGAAAAATAGAAAAATTCTAAGACAATATTGAAACAAACTTATAGTAATAAACATTCAACTTTTGACCATAAAAAAAGTTAAAATCTTTGAAAGACAAGTTAATGAAAGTGATATTCAACTACATGAATGGAGGGGTCTTATCATAGTTCTGAACTCGACAAATAATAAAAAAAAATACATCAAGCCTTAAAATTTTCTTCACTTGATTAAAGCTTCTCTAGTCTTCCACACACAAAAACTGTATCACATATAAATCTTTCTATGAAAATAATGTTAAAAGATTTATATTTATAGGAAAGTATATATCTTTGGAATATGAAGATTCACTTACAAAGTTGAAAAGTAAAGTGTTATAAAAATTAAAGACAAATATTAATTAAGAACAAAAATTAATTTAGAAAATAAACCATACACATGTATCTATTTAGAGGGTGAATAATTTAAAGAAAATAAATTAAATTAGATATTTTAATTAAGAATCATTCTAAAAAAGTGTAAAAGTTATTAACATTTTTATTATAATAATATAATTTAATATTTAAATGAAATAGTTAAATATTTTTATAACATTTTAATTTATAATAAAAATAAAATTATAATTCAACTTTTTTAATTTTCTCTTATAATCATATATGATATGATGATATGATAAACTGATAGTTGGATTCTGATGGTGGTAATAAATAGTGGTAAAAGGCTGGAACATGACAAGCAAAATAAGTTAATTGATCCAATCCATTTATCTTAACTTGTGTTTTGTATGAAAGAAGAATATATTCAAATTTTCTTGGTTAGCTTAATTTTTTTTTCAATTTCTCTGTCACTCCATTCATCTATTCCAAATGTTGTTCAAGAATCCTTCTTGTTCATTGATATTTTAAACTTGCAGAGTTGTGCTTCGCTATATAGCACGCACCAGCTTAAAGTGATGCGTCCAGGTTCAGAGCCTCTTCTTTCACTACATCAAAAATAATGGTAATTAAATTTTAATTACTGTTAAATATATTTTTTAATGATAATTAAATTTTTTTTATAAATGATCCAAAAAAATCTTTAGCAATATTGATTCTAATGACACTTAATTAATATCAATAAATACTTCGACACTCTTTATTAATGTCAATATTTATTGCTGCTAAAAGTTCTTTTTTGTTGTAGTGTTCCAATTTGGTTAGCTACCTAATATTTGTTGTTGCTCACCACGTTGAGGATTTCCGTTACACTTTGTCCTAATTTATCCGACAAATTTCGTTTTTGCAAGAATCAAACGGTTTAAATTTAATTGAGAATTCGCTCATGAAATCTTCAATTTTAAAACAATGAAAGTTATATATTTATAAAGAATAATTAATAATTCAAAATACATAAAAGATATACGAAAAATTTATGATAAAAGATGATATATTTGTTTTAATCTCAAAATCGAAAATGGGAGTAATGAATATGGTGAAAATAGAGGGAGAATTCATGGATCATTATATTGGGCTTAAAGTGTTTTTTGGATCATCCAAAGTTGGATCATTCAAAAAAAAAAAATTTGTGGCCATATCATGTCATCTTCCTAATATGGACCCTTTAGGGGGGCCCTTCTATCTTATTTGTAACGCCACAAAGCCAAGTTTTGGATATCATTTGTAGAATGGATTGTTGCTTATTCACCAATTGAGTTTGCTTGTTGAGTGGTGATATATGGAGATTGCAGTGGGTAGAAGTTTCCAAGTTTTGACATTATTGTCTGGTTCATCTTTTCATGGAAAGAGTATACGTAGAACTTGTGTAAAAGGATTTAATTCGACTAGAGCTAGAAAAGGACATTCTCTAACACCTCTGGCTCAAGCTCACCAAAGGCCAACATGGCTTCCTGGCCTTGACCCTCCACCTCATCTTGATGGAACGTAAGCGTATTCGTTGCCTAGCTACTAATTAACCAACTTTCCTACTTAATTAGTACCTCATTTTCCTTCTTTTTCTATAGTCTTGCTGGAGATTTTGGTTTTGATCCACTAGGACTTGGAGAGGATCCTGAAAGTTTGAAATGGTATGTACAAGCAGAACTTGTTCATGCCCGCTTCGCCATGGCTGGGGTTGCTGGAATACTTTTAACTGATGTAAGTCATCATCATATAATATATACATTTTTTTTTTCTCTTTATCCTAAACATTTTTCTGGTCATTCTTTTTAAGTTGCTTCGTGTCACTCGAATAAGGGATTTGCCAGTGTGGTATGAAGCAGGAGCTACAAAATTTAACTTTGCCAGCACAACGACTCTGCTCATCATTCAACTATTATTGATGGGGTACAACGTTAACACAATGTTGATTCTGGACAATCTATACCTCTCTCTGATTTTTTGTATTTACAGGTTCGTTGAAACAAAAAGGTACATGGATTTTCTTCATCCTGGCTCTCAAGCAAAACCTGGATCTTTTTTTGGACTAGAAGCTGCACTGGAAGGCCTTGAACCAGGGTAATTTAAATATTTTCTTTTGCCAACTTACCTTTGCTAGTGCTGGAGTAGGGAAAGAACCGTATAGGTTGATCCACCTCGAGTACTATGGGTTCAACTAAACCCCTTGTTTGCTGTCCAAACTACGTTCATAGATGACAGATAATAAATTAAGCTCTAGTATACAATATAATTATACTCATTCTAAATTTTGGATTTGCCTCTGCACAGGCTTATACTCCTACTAAGCATAGCCAGACATTGACATTTAGCAGGTATCCAGGTGGTCCTTTATTGAATCCTCTTGGAATTGGAAAAGATATCAAGAATGCTAAAGACTGGAAACTGAAAGAGATTAAAAACGGTTTGTTGAGATGCATCATTATTTTAGTGCTTTCAAGTCTTGTCAAATATTTTTATACTTTCCTTTGTTTTGTAGGACGCCTAGCTATGGTGGCTATGCTTGGTATCTTCGTTCAGGCTTCTGTTACTCATGTTGGTCCTATTGACAATCTGATCGATCATCTCTCCAATCCATGGCACAAAACCATTCTTCAAACCATTGCTGCATCGAGTTCTTGATTATTGGAGTTTGTTTAGAACATGGCATACTGAAATGTTTCATTTAAAGGCCATTCAGTAAAGCAAGCAACCTTGTATAATAAACTTATGTGTATTTCAATCATGTTCTTCCATTTCTGACTGACAATATAATACTAGGACATATAGAGAACAGTTGTCAATGAAGGAAATTAAACAGTATCATATGGTTTCTACATAAAGATCAAAGGACAGGTTATCTAAGGATGATCTTTAGGCCACACCAAGTAATAATCTTACTTGCACCAGGTTTTGTGCCAAATCAGTGAATGCAATACACATTTCATGCATATAATGTTTTACTCAGGTTAAATACCTTGGTTTGGTGTAAAGTGTAAACAATGAGATCAGGTAAGTATTTTTCTCACAATTAGTGTATAAGTGCTTCAAATATCTTATGCATCTTCTACCCAACAGAAATGGTCAATATGAATATTTGCTACTTCATAACAGCATTCGATCAGGGTTGCATGAACTAAGCGGAAAACAAGCAGAGTACATCACAATGGGAAGTAAACAATTCGAATGGGATACCAAATGATTTGAAAAAAAAAACTAGAAAATACTAGAATTATACAACCCATACTGCCAAGAAGCCCAATATTTCAGAATCTGAGAACTAGCTGGATAAAATAGTTGAAGCAGCAGATGATTTACTTACAGAATCACTTTATTGGCCTCAGCCAAACCTATAACAACCTTACTCGGTTCTATAAACACCCCTCCAAAAGGTGAGAGAAGTACTTTTCATATTGTACAATACATGATGCTCGGGATGTATACAGAAAAGCAGTGAGAATTTACACTCCGTCAACAAAGACAAATAACCAGAAAAATAAAGGGACAGTTGTATAAAATGATGAGAGTCTCTAAAACCCCAAAGCACATCATGCTGTCTTGGCCTGTGATTTCTTCCTTCCCAAAAGCATCAAGAGCCTTGGGAAGAAGGACCTTTTCTTTTTCTTTGGGATCTTCACTTCTGGAGATGTATCAATTTCAGTATTACTTGCTGGCTCATATGCTCTTGGACTTGACCTATGATGTAGTGAAGCAGCCTCTGGTGCACGCTCATAGGTTTTTGATGCTTTACTCTCCTCAAAGCTTGTTCTCGGGCTTCTGATAGTGTTTATCAGTGGAAGAGATTCAGCAGCTTTCCTCCTTTGCCGATGCTCAGCCCTCCATTTCCTCAGCTCTTGCTCGACTGCCAATTTCCCTTCCTTTGCTTTTTCTGCCTTCTTCATTGCAATTTCTAGAGCTTCCTTTTGAGTGGTCATCTCACGATTAACCTCCTCCAGCCTGCTTAGACTTCTCACTTCTGATTCCTTGGATACTTCAATTTGGGTTATAGCAGCAGCTAAGCTCTTATTAGCTTGCTCCTCCGCCTCATGGGCCAGTTTGCTGAGATCATAATATTCTTCAAGAGAGAGTGTTACTCCAGATGGGGAATCTTCATTATTGGTGCTTCGAGCTAATTCACTCTCTTGCAGTGCATTGATGGCTTCTAGCGCCAACTTCTCAGAAGCTTTTGCAGCTTCTATCTCCTTATTAGCAGCAATTAGTCTACTTCCCATGGTACTTGCTCCTGCCTTTGCTTGCTCTGCTTCTTCCTTTGCCTTTCTCAACTCTTCACAAGCTGTTTGTGCAAGTGACTTTGCCCGATCAGCCTCTTGGGCAGCATCTTGCAATTTCTTGGGAAGCTCCACCACCTTTTCTCTTACTTCTTTCTCTTTCATCTGCACAAGGCCAATCTCTGACTTGGTCTTGTTCAACTCAGCTTCAAGAGATGCTACAGCAATTGATGCCATGCCTTCTCTCTGCTGGATGGAAGCTAGTTCCAATTTTTCTTTTTTTAATTCTGCCTTCAATGAAGTTGCAGCAACCTTCAAGCAATTTACATCATCTGTTGCTTTCTCGATGTTGAGTTTCACTTCTTCAAGTTCCCGTGTAGCCAAGGCAACCGCTGCTTGTATGTTGGCATGAGTTCTTTTCTCTGGTTCTGACAGTTCGTTGAAATTGCCTCCTTCAACCGTCTCTTGTTTCAACTTTGATTCCATGTAAGAAGCAAACTCAGCTTTGAGATCCAGTAACAAAGCTGAAGCAGTGTCTAATTTTGCTTTGAGATCCTTTGAAGACCGTATTTGCTGGTTTAGCTTCTCAAGCTCATCTTCTGCCTGCTTTAGTTCTTTCTCCCAATTTAGAGTATCTTGCTCTCTTGCCATGGCAGCTCCAATTCTGTGTTCCTCCGCCTCCAAATGTGCAGTTTGTGCAGCTTCTAAAGATTCCTTTGTAGTGATGAGCTCAATAGTCAAATACTCAACTTCTTTCTCAACTTTCTTTGAGGCAGAAACCGCTTCCTCTGCATTTTGCATGGCATCATATCTTTCTGACACCAATAAATCATACTGTTTATGCAGATTTTTCAGCTCATAATCCACATTTTTTAGCTCTGAAACTGCTGTTTCATGCCTTGCTTTAGCAACTTCAAGCTGCGCCTTGGCTGCAATACTAGCCTCATCAGCAATTCCCTGCTCCATCTCTTCTACCCTGAGCTTGGCAAGTTCTGAGTCCTGTTTCGCTTGTTGCTCTTCAGTTTGTGCTCTCTCCAGGTTTAGCTTCAACTCTTCAATCAGTCTTTTAGTGCTATCTAGTTCCTTCACCACCATCATTTTTGCTTCTTCTGCAGCCTGTGACTGTTTCTTGTACACTGGGATCTCTTCCTGCACATTCGCTAATTCTTGATCGACAACTTTCCTTCTCTGCATTATCCAAAAGTTGAAGATTTAGCTGAAAAAATTGTTGTGCGACAGATGTCCAAAAGATGAATGTACATGTCGGCAAGATACAGAATATAAATACACAATCTAAATAGTCAATGCTTATGGGCAGTATGCCAGTATCTCGGTGAACTTGCAGATGCAATCCTTCATTAGATAGAATCATCACACTCATTTTGAGGATAACCAAATGGCTTCCTGAGTTGAGATTCAAAGAGCATATAAAGGGTTCGTGAGCATACCTCCACGGTCTGTACTCGATGAGCCTTCCAGTCAACAATGCCTCCAAACTTGGACACTGCCTGCTTCACAGATTCAATTGGTGCTGCTGTGTCAATTTTAACTCTGTTAATAACAGAGTTATTAGGGGGCTTAGAATTGGCACTGGGTTCTGGAATCTTAACTGTGAGACAGGACGCCTTGGTTAAGGACTGACCAGTGTTAGGTACCTCTACATGAATATTATATTTGTGTTTTTGTTCTTGAGAGGATGAAGAATTTGTATCAGCAGAAACAACATAAATACTTCGAGAATTATTGTGTTGAAGTAGTGAGACATTATTTTTTTCCCCTCTTAAAGAATCAGATTGTATGTGATCAGAAGATTCTTTTAGGTTTTCCTCTTTTAGGGACGCGGGGTTTGAATTCATGGTTAATAAAGGTGAATCATCATGCTCTTCTGTTGGTGCATCTGTAGTATTGTTCGGTTGATTCATTGCATCCAATATAGACGATGAACTGGTTTCTGAGAGAGCTGTTGGAGGCTCTAACGATTTCAGATCCTCTACCAGTTTAGGTGATGCTTCCTGCTGAACTGTTGGCACAGCTGATTGAACACTTGCTGTTTTAGAAATGTTACCTGCTCCATCAGATTTAATGGAAGGCTCCTGAATTTCAGAGTTTGCTGTTTCATTCATATGTTGCCTAGTTGGATTTGCACTATGTGAGTGATCCTCCTTCGGAACAGAAACTTCAGGTTTAGGAGCACATTCTTGGGGACAACTTCCTTTCACATCTTTTGCATCTTCCATTTCCAATTAAGAGCTGAGATGAACCAAAAAATAAAATTTACAAAGATAAGTAAGGGGATAGATACATAACCTTTCTCAAGTAACCAAACACCTTCCCAACCTTTTACCAGAATTGGAGATATCAAACAGCTGTTCTTGCAGACCCCAACTTAAACTTAAGCAATTGCAACTATTTTCTGTACAACATTAAGATCACCTATTTTGAAGTTTCTACACTATAACTTCTACACAGTCATTCATTTCATTTGAGGATTGCTAGTTGGATAACAAAAACTAAGTTAATTTTTGCGAGAAACGTTTAGGGCAACACACCTTACTAAGAATATGAATGACTACATCCTATCCAACTAACCTATAATCTTTTTCTGTAAATGGAATACGTATCCTATGTTCACTAGTTAATGCAATATCATTTTTACATTGCCAGCCAAATAAAAAAAAAGAATTCTTACTATTCCACATGAGAACACACTTCCCATAAAGTAATTTTATTTGAACTCTAACTCAATAAAGAATTATGAGACAGTTTTTACTTATTGAAGGAAGTGAAGTCAAACAAGATATTCAATTTCAAAAAGAGAAGTACTAGGGATTTCATAATTAAACAACCAGTAAAGTCTTGTTGGCAAGTGCATTTATCACTTTAAGTTTAACATATTTAATGGATATTTATATATCAGCTGATCCATGATATTTCCCTAATATTTTCATCAATGAATCACATAAATGGGAGGGGTAAAAGATCACACCAGAGAGGTACAGTCCCTAATTTTTATGCAGTTATTTTAGATCAAGTTGTGGTCTACAACTCGGTGCATATGCATGTCATTGATTTAATAAAAAAGATGCAGCTGATCTTCTTCTGATCCATTCCCCTTCCTCATCAACAACATTGAAGCCAGGCAAAAGGAAAAAAAAAACAAGAAGAAGGAAAATGAGAAATGAATAAGTATCCAGTCAACGCCACAAAAAGTACATCTGTGAAACTTATTGAAATCCTTTAACTTTTTTCTCTTCTTCAGCACTCTCATTAAGGAATAAGGACACACCATTCTATGGTGAGACCAATCCTACCATGTAAAACATAAACTTCTAAGGTTTATTCCAGTTTTTCCATATAACCAAATCCTTGGATTGTGTATGCTCGTTCCTAGACGGGGAACCTTTTAAAACAAAATGCTGCCTCAACTCCTTTTCTCTTCCTAATGTGCTATCTACTAAGTCTTGTCAGTTTTTCCATATAACTAAATGTTCTACATGTGCTTGCTCCAAGCAGGAATATAGGCTATCTTTAAAGGAACTTCCTGAACTGCACTTCTTGTACTAACATTGGTAGACACTTCTCAGAAAACTACAAACACATTATATACAAAACTTCCATCACACATCAAACTCAATAAGTTGATAGAACAAACAATCAGATGGAATATCTGAAATGCCTAGTCGATTTATTTGTAGTAACGCACATGGTGGAGGTATGGTTGCTGCACTAGGAAAAAAAGAAGTTAGTTTCCTAGTAGCTTTGCAATATCAACTCGTGCAGCAAAATGCTTCAGGAAATTCAGTTGAAGACAGAAGTAGACATGTAAAAATAATCCTTCAAGGTTTCCCTGTGATAAAACTAGAGTTTGCAGATTAAATTTTACTAAAAAGAAGTCATGTGGTTAATAGTCCTACTTGAAAGAATGTAAAAAGTTCTCTCTTGTGCCCCCATTATAGGAAAGCATTTACAAAATCAACTTTTCGGGGAAACATTACATAATTGAATCCTCTTTTCTTCCATCACCAGAAGATTCTTCATTTAGAATCCTCCATAGCAGATAATGTCAAAGTCATAAACTCCATCAGCAAATTAATGCATGACTAGCACAAGTGGAGCTTACCATATCAGCAGCTTAGCACATTAAGAGCAGGCATATAACATGTGTCTTTACACCAATCAAAATATGAAAGTAGCTTGAATATGGGTTCCACTTGTTTCTAACTGATAAGTTAGATATTAAAGAATCCATAGACAGCAAGCAGAAATCATGTAAAAGATTCGTCCTCCAATTAGATTAAACATATACATAAAGGACAGCAGATAGTCTTTCATTTTGCTTTGAAATATAGAAAAGAGACAACTAATCATACAATAAAGTTATGCTAGCTAAATACACAAACTTAAAATGTGTAGTTATTTAGTTTATTAGCCAGGAAATAGTACCTAGAGAACGCCGTTTAGCTCTAAAATAACAAAAAAAAATGGCAAGTACCTTTGTGAGTGAGGATGATACCACGTAACCATACACTAGCAGGAATACAGTTTAGGGATGCAACTGTCGTACAAAAAGATGGTGTAGTAATACTGAATAAATACAACTCAATTAAATCGACCCCATGTTTTAGTAATCACATCGACGCCACATCTTATACTCTAAACAGCTATGTAGTTGTCATTTTATCCATTGAAACTTGAATTCCAGATTCATGAAGGTATAACTTACTTACGATTCAGTTGCTTTAAACATACGAGTTGATAACTCTGCCCAATGTTTTATTAAAGATATGATGTTGCATTGAATCTCCTATATTTAGAGAGAGAAACATAACATTACTAGGAGTGGTTGTGGTTCTTGACACCATCTGATTGAGCTCTTTAAAACACATACATATATAACAAGCTAGTCAACGTGGGTAGCAAGTTAAAAAGCATGAGCAAGACTAGTAGTATTATAAGGTCTCTCTCATTTGGAAAACAATTAATACCCACAATTAATCCCAAAAGATCAATTACCGATAACATTTCTTGGTATGAAATTGACCAAAACCTCAAACAACAAGGGTCGAATTTGTGAGCTAAGCTTGCTTGGTTTTATTTAAATACATATTGTTCTTTTTTTTTATGGGCACACAATCATCAAAAAATAAATTAAACAGTTATACAAGAAGAAACATATCATAATTCATTAGAAGGAAAAATTACCAGAAATGATGTGTGTTTGATGATGTTTTCCCAAAACAAGACAATATATATATATGTATAAGAAAAATAAATAAATAGTGGTTTGAAAAAAGGAAGAAGAAGGAGAAGTAGAGGTTCTCAAAGATCCTCTTCGTCTACCTTCTTTTTGTCTTTTTCCAATTATGTTTACTTTTCAAAATAAACATTACAATATCTAAAAGTCACCGCAAATTAAGGAGAGCTCCTCTTTTTTCGCTGTGTTTTTTGCGCGTGTTTGAAACAAACCGCACAATCATAAATATTTTAATTCAAAAAAAGAAAATAATGAGTCTTCTGGTTGATTGACAAACCTTTTCCGTTCCAACCCACTTTTACTATTTTCACTATCCTACTCCATTTTACGCACTCATTTTTTTTTATAGATATTTTATAGTATATAATCAAAATTAGATTTTGAAAACTATCTTAATTATATTGATTTCTTTTTTATATCAGTGTGGTTATATTAATTGTCGAGGTTTTTTTATATCGTGCAAAAGGGAAAATAGTTTTTTTCTAAAATCAAGTCCTAGTAACCTTTGTACAGTTCAATAAGACGTCTCGTCACCATATGTACCAATCGTAGATTGGTCTCGCAACAATCACTAGTCCCACACATTTCGTAGAATAGAGACTACCCTAATTCACTGTATCAGTTGTAGACTTGTCTCGTAGGTCACTATGTTGAATTATGTTTTGAGGAGCTATTATATGTTTTGATCTTGAAATGCGTGGATTGATATTTTTCGTTGTCTTTCCCTATGCTAAAATGACATTTGACCTTTTTATATATTTATTTGAGATTTATACTTAGCACTGAGAGGGTGTTAAGGTGGAGGATCAATTAGGATAGTCTCTAGTAACAATGACTAGTCCCAAACTATGTGCCCCACTAGTTAGTGGATCCACTTTAGCAAATGAGGGTATGTACGTATTCTACTTTGGCAAGTACTTTTCCTTTTTTTTGTTTCAATATAAGGGATACCGGATTCCATGATATAGCTCTCATGGTCTTATTGTCGGTTAAAGTTAACATCCAGCAAAATGATTATATTTTCGTCAAAGTTTTTCGTGTTTTAATGTTTTGCATGTTATTTCTTTTTTAAGGCTTTCAAATATTTTATTATGATCATGCCTAGTCATTTTAAGTCATGCATGCTACCATGCCTATGTTTGTGAATAATGCCTCAAATTTAGTATATTTTATGTACTAATGCATACTTGTGCCTATTGTTTCACCAATGTAGGATCTGACGCTCCTACCTCTCATACTTATGGCTAGTTGATCCTTCAGTCTTGAAGATTGGCGAGTCTTCGTGTTCCGTGGATCGAGACTCTTTTATTGCTTTATGTTATTTTCATTTCAGAATTTGTATGTGAAGTATGGTTTAGGTCCCAATCACTTTCCTTAGGATGTAATAGACACTTTTAGACTTATGTTTAGACTTTCGCTATATCAAATTATTTTACGAAAGCCTTTCTTTTGGACTTTTATTCTATTATCTTGTATCATGTATGGTATGTGACTTCTGTGGGATCTCTCAGGGTCATTATGCGCCATGTTACACTAAGGGTACAATTAGGGTCGTGAAAACTTGATATTCAGAACACAAGATTTAGAAAGTTCTTAGGATTTCTCATAAGCCATGTTGAATAGAGTCTTCATCGAGTGTGAAGCACACCACGTTTATGAATAATAGGCTATAATATGTTGAGAAAGCTCCACTTTTTTCATCACTCTAAAGTTGTGCGATAGAGTTTAATCCTATATGTCTCTCTCCTAATCCTTATACAATTATTTTTAGGGTACATCTTTTCAAAGAGCATACATTGGAAAAAGTGTGGTGGGAATGTGGAACGAGAAGCTCCTCAATAAGCTCCAACTTTAGGCCTATTCTTTGGCCGAACAGGTGACGAATGCGGAATTTCAAGCTACTTTTCAAGTGTTAGCTCAAACCATGACAGATCAAGCCAATAGGAGTGTCACATCCCAGGCCTATACCCTGACGTGGCTGGCACTCGAGAACTACTGTTGGTCCCCAGGAAAACCCTTGTCCTTACTCAAGACTTAGCAGAAGACTTACTAAAAAATATGACCTGAATTTGCAAAGATTAACTCAAAGTCTCAAGATAAATAACTTGGAATATTTAATGTGTTCAATTAGCCATAAAAAGGCAACTAAAGTCTTAAACATTAACAATCGAAATGGAAATGACTCCTCAAAACAATATTTTATATGAAGCCTCTAATAAGTATGATAGATTGCGAGACAAGACCCACGACATCTTAATAAAACTAAAAATAAAAATAGAATCCTCCCGAAGTAATGAGGCTCGCCAAAGCTAGTTGCAACTGCAAGTGGTATCAACGAAGCGCTTATTGATGGCCTTAATACTTGTATCTGCATCGTAAAAATATGTAGATCAAATGACATTAGTACATTAAATGTACGAGCATTAAGGGGAACTATAAAGCATAACCATAAGCTTAAATTGATAAAAGAAAGAACATACGATTGCACGAGCATACCATGAATATTTGAATAGTAAGAGGTAAAATGTACATGTATGCAATGAATGATCTCAGAGGGCTTGTACAAGACCTCGAAGTCAAGTACACCATGTCACAGTCCCAGAGTGTCCTATCTTATGGGGTGTACTCTTGGGATGTGTCAAAGTTGGTATCAGAGCATAGGTTATGAAAGTGGTCTTAGGAATAAAAAATTCTCATAAAGCCACGTCTAATAGAGTTTTGTTCATCGGTATGAGTCGCGACACATCTATAGGTGAGAGGCTATAGGATCATGGAGTATTCTCAATCCATTGAGGATTCCAAGCTTAGTAAGATTTCTAGAAATTTGAAGAGGAGTGGACCAAGTGAGCAAAACCAACCTAGGTTCAAGAAGAGGGCTCCAATTCAAGATGAACCTAGGGATCCTAAGGTCAAACTTGAGAAGGACAGTGGTTCTTAAAATGGTCAGCCTTGTGTTACTTGTGGCAAGAAGCATTATGGGAAATGTCTAGTTGGTACCGGGAATTGTTTTAGTTGTGGTAAGGATGGACATAAGGTGAGGGATTATCCTACTATTACGCCTAGAGGAAAGGAAGGTAAGCAAGTCCTCCAAGTGTTCCGGGTGATAATGTTTCAAGGAAGAATCACTTCTATTCCAAAAGGACCTAAGCCAGATGATGATGAGGATGTTGGAAAGTTATAGCTTCTCTCTTTAGTTGTTATGAGTTCGTTCTAAGTGGGGGAGTATGGTGAGTAGTAGAGATTTGATAGATTGTCTCATCTCTTCTATCCAATTCAAGCTTGAGAGTTAGAAAGTCATAGTAGCATGTTACATGTTGCATTGTGCCTAGGAGTCTTCTTGGAATTGAATATCATGATCCGCACCTATACCCTAGATTCTAGGGTCAATCTTGGATCATGACATGCGTACTTGACCTTTCGGAGGTCTTGTACAAGCCCTTTCATATCGTTCATCGTATATACATATATGAAAAGTAGTACGGAATTAAAACTTTTCACAACATTTGAATAGTATTTGAAAATATATTTCATATAAAATCCATAGAAAATACTAAGTCTCATTGAATCAAATCTTAAACACAAGAATACTTGGGTTACGACCCATACAATAGAAATGTAGTACTACTATGTGTCACGAACTTAAAGTATTTGCTAAGACTCCGTGCGGCACTTGACAACTTACTCACGAGTCTTTCACGATCTTATAAGCTAAAGTAATCCTTTAAGACTTGGAATGCTAAGAAAATGCAAAGAAAGACTTAGAAAGAACAAAAGAGAACTTTGGAAAAGGCTTGTATTACTTTGGAAGATTTGCTTACAACTTTGCTTGGTTTGCTTGTTTCACGCCTGGATGCCTTGCAAATGAATGTCACCCTCTATTTACACTACCTCCTAAGGACCTAAGTGTAAATATTATTTACTTTATAAGTCCCTTCTTATTTACACTTTAGTCCCTCTCTAGAAAATTCTACACATTCTTGGAATTTCTAAATCTTTCCAAGAGAATATCTAAGTTACTCTAGAGTATTCTAAGGAATTCTCTAGCCTTCTATATTAGTCTAGAAGGTTCTAGAGTTCTCTGCAAACCTCTCCACAACTCTAGACCCATTCACTCCCATCTGAACGCAAAATTTAATTTTCATGTGGCGGACGGGACACTCTCTCCCACCTATGGATGCGACGACCGC